CTACATGAGGATCATTGGCCTTCTCCCTTTCAGAAGAGTGGTAGTTGCAGCACTCTCTAGTTCAGGATTGTCCATTATATAATCACCCTCTCCATCAATGTAGAGAGGTGGGAACGGGCCTTGGACATATGGGAGAGGGGGAATGGGGATGGTGAGTGCGTGGATTGGAGGGTATGGGCTTGTTTGGGCTTGTTCTTGCATGGAGAGGTGGGTACGGGGGTTGTTCATGTGTGGAGAGGGGATAGAAGCTTGTTGTTGCATGGGGAGGTGTGTGTGGGGTGTGTGGAGGTGGTGGGGAGTTTTCGAAAATGCGCATCGTGGATTCCATGGTTCGCTTATATAATACTCAAAATACTCGAAATCCTTTCTGAACAACCAAACAAGATTGAGATGATTGGATGTTATCATGAAGAATCCTCTGACAGTGATGAAGACTCAGAGGAAGGTGGTGAGTGGCAGTTGAGTTGCACTGTTGTTGTGATTGTACTGAAATTTCACCAAGTTTCGCATCACAAAAGTGTGACCCTGCCAAAGGGTGTTTGTTTGTCCCAGCTGTTTCTTGAGGTCTTTACACTCCCCGGTATATTCCATATGGAATATTTTTATATGAGTCCCCAGCTATTTTTTTATTCCATATGGAATATGGATGGAATGATGGATTCCATGGACTATTCCAGGTGGATTCCATCTGGATTCCAGCCATAGATTAATTAATGACCATTATACCATTATAATACAGTATTTATAATGTCCTTACTATATTTAGGTAAAAATTAACTTTTACACTTAAGAGGATTGAACCCTCAACCATGTCAGCAATAGCAGTGCTCAAGTCAACTGAGCCACGCAGGCATTACTACATGGTAAACTAAAGGTCTATGTATACTGAAGAATATCGAAAGAATTGTCGTGTTGAAAGTCATGCAGCCTCGGCCAGCGAAGACGCAACTAGAAACATTCAATACCAATCATGAGTCTTTTGAGAAGAATATCCGAGGAGGGTAAACTCACATACTTCAAATTTCCTTCAACATCAGCAATGCCACTTAGAGCTCCTATAGGGACATCCAGGAATGTGTTACACAGTTGCCAGGCTGTTCAGACTGGGGAGGCACAGCCTGCCCAGTCTCAGAAATTGCCTTCTGTGCCAAAGGCAGGCACTGTCCTTCTGCTGCAGTGCAGCCTGCCCAGTGCCCTCAACATCAAGGGTTGATCCAAGCACTCCTACTGCAACTAGAGGCATTGCGACCAGCTTGTCAGAGTTAGCGGCAGGTGGGCTTTCTGGGAAGGAGCTACAGTGGCGCCAGGCTGTGTTAAAACAATTTATCTGGGATCAGGAAAACTTCTGTGCCCCTTGCTGGGGACAAGGTCATTGCTTTGATCACAGCCTAGATTTGTGCACCTATGTTGAAGAAGATTTAATGGGTTATCAAAGTCATTTTGGACACTGGAAGGCAAGCTGGAACCTTCCATCAGGTAACTGTTTTTGGTGCTGTCTACCAGCTTTTTGTGTCCCTTCTTCATCACTAAGTTGAACCACCTCTGACAAAATTCCTCAGAAAGCTCCAATCCATCCACAGACCCCCCACCTTGCCATCCTAATTGGGACTTTATTCGTCCGCTAACATTCTCCTTGTGGGCAGTGCGACATTCCAGAGACATAATCCTGGACACCTTCAACTTGAATCAGAACATGGATGAACAGGCATTTATTTCTTGGATGAATGAGGCAACAAAGCCAGGCAGCAAAATCCTAAAGGCTCACCTTCTGGCAATGTGGGTGCAGGTGAAATTGCTTGGAGTTCGTTGCCTGGCAGTTTGTGGAGCAGGGCTTGTAATACTTCCCAAGAGATCAAACACCCAACAGAGCCTGCCATACAGGGCTGACATTCAGGAAGTTGTCTATGCCAGTGTCAGACATACAGAGCCCAGTCATGTATCCCCACTTGTCCATACTAGTTTGAGGTGTGCTGACTGTGATCAGCCTGCTTGTTCGTGGTTGAGGTCCTGGTCAGATCCACAGGTTCTATCAAGGGTGAGAGATTATTTCTGAAAATGGCAGTATGGAGCTCCTTAACTTCTCTGATTGAAAGCTTGATCTGAAGATTGGAATGGCTTTGTGACTTGATGATGGCAATGATCTTTTCAGAAGACCATATTGGTAAGTGTGCTGGTGCAAAAACATGGGATATACTCCAGCTGTGGGGTTTCTAGAGCACCACTGCCTTCATAAACTGAATGGAGACTGGTCCAATGACCCCAAGATAGAGTATGAGGTTTGGCTTAGCCCTGGTGGCACAGCCCAGAGAGCCTCTTGGATGGTTTGACTGTATAGCTTTGACTTTGGAAATCCAATTATGAGATTCTTCTTGCACATTAACACATTCTGCATTCATTTCACTGTTGAAGATGATGTGTAACAGAAGCCCTTTATCTGGAAGGCTCTTGCAGGGATGCCCATACCCAGAACATTACCCCAGTTTTTTCTCTGCATCAGACAAAAGTTCCATGTGCTCACCCTTTCTCCCCTTCTTGGTTCTTGGTTTTCCCAACTGGTAGCACTCTTCCTCTGAAACCACCAGTGCTGCCATAAACTTATATACCAGACCTTCAAAATAGTCCCTTATTCTCCTCCTGCTCAAAGATGCTCTTGTCCCTCTTCATATAATCATGAAAGCTGGACAGGAGATGTGGAGCTTCTCAAAGGCTAGCCCAGATGGAAGGAGAGCATGAAGATTGTCTCCAGCTGTAGTAATGAGGGACTCTATCAGATGTTTGAGCCTGGCCAGCTCCACATCATAGTCAGAGATGTAGCAGTTGCTATACTTGAATACAAGGCCAGCGTCATTAGAGATAATGTGGGTTGAGCCTACAAGCTTCAGTGCCAATGGCCAGACAACCAGCCATATCAATTTGATGTGCTGAAATGCTGTAGGCATGGATTCACTCTCAGGCATAGCACTGGCAGTCCAATCCGAACATTGGCCAAGTGCACTAAAATAACTATATGAAGTTTAGCTGGTTGAATACAAGATTTACTGTTCAAGACAAAAAACAATACCAGCAAAGGGGTCCAACACAGGATTTGCATTAGGACTGACTGAACTCATGTCATTTACGTCATTGGTGTATGGGTCTGTAATGGCTTTGTCCTCCTCCTCCATGGCATCTTGTTGAGGAGACTGAGGCCTGCCCTTCTTCTTCTTCTGCATCTGCAGCCAGCATCTGCATCTGCATGAGTGTGTATTATCTCCATTGAGGGCCACGTTCAATGTTCAGGTGGTAGATTTTCTCATCAGGTCTGAGCAGCATGGCATCAAGGTACTCGTGCCTGGATGCAGCTCGAGTTTTTCTACAGTTTCACTGCAAGCATGTAGAAAGATTCCATCAATTCTTCATTCTCAAGAATGAGTATTCTTTTGCATGATATATCACAAGGATACCTTGAATGCACAATTGTACCAGAATGTACTTTCATTTACTACCAGGCCACATATTGTTCTATATGTCTTTATTTACAGTTATTTTCATTGATAGGCACAGAATCATTCTTCAGGAAGGTACACTTACCTGGTCGAGTGACAAGTATGGAGCATATCCTGCTTGGAATACTGGCAGCACTGAAGCCCATCTCTGGACTATGATATGACTCGAGAGCTATGACAAACTCCAGTAGAGACCCAGCTTTCACATCCAACTGCATCTGAGAGGTCAGCAAGCCTACCAGTCCATGGACTCCGATTGTGAGGTCACCTTCTGCAATCATGTCCTCCTCTTTAATGCCTAATGAGGGTTTGGCTTGTCTGTTTAACTTGAGCAGCTCACTCTTCTCTTAATAGAATTTCCATGATATTTTTTCTTTCAAGTTCAGCAAGTATTTTTCCTGCTTTATCTCTGTGTTTCATTGTTGCTTTCCATTTTCTACACAACCAATCCCTAAGATTTAGCAGTGATTTTTGGTCAAGATGATTTACTTGAGTATCAATTGTATAGAGACCGCACCATCAAGACCAACAACCCCCTCACACTTGTTGCACTACTCAAAGAAGCTGACATCAACAGCACATATGAGGATGGTGGATGACCTTAATACCAGACTCATCAGTCTTAGGAGGTTTATATGATCATTGATTGATCTTACTAGTGTTTCTATGTAGGTATCAATCAAGTGAGCTGAATTTGGATCATCTTGAATCAAATTAACAGGTCTGTCCCAGTCAGCCCTCTTCACAATTATTCTTCCCTCTGAGTTGAATGAGATTTTTCAAGTGATTAGGTATGCCATAAGTGTCTGAATTATTGTGTCATTATGGCTACCAGACTGCCTTGCCACCTAATGTAAAAATTAGTTGATCAGATTGCATTCTCAAAGAAATTGGGCTAGACAGACCTCAGGAGAGAAACAAAAATTCTTCCTGAGCACAAGGGTGCTGGCCAAAAAACTTTTCCATTCTCCATTGAAGTATGTGGTGGAGATGGGTGCATGTTTGTTCATAGGCGGCATCGAGAATATTAAAAGAGTGTGTCTGTGACTGGAATCCCTTCTAGGCTTTGAATCCACCAGATGACTATTTTCAGCAGAATTAGCAATAGGTCAGAATTCTGATATGGAACTCACAGTTTTCTGGCTGGTGTTCCACTGGAGTAGATCTTCGCACTTGGTTCCAGATGTCCTGGAGGAATTCTCGGATTTTTTCATCATGATTTGTTGCATGAGCAAAGGTGGAGCATAATAGAAACTGTGGTAAAGATTGCTTATGGGAAGTGTGTTCATGATGACAAGATGGGGACAAAAGTACTAGTGGTAGTGACTGGAAGAGTACTTGATCAATACCATAGCAAGAGGGACATGGGGGAAGTATAATAGCTGCATGGCTATTTTTCACAGAAGTTGAGAATAACAAATGAAGTAATTACAAGGAGCAAAAATAAGACAGTTTTGATAGGAAAAAGTTGAATTGCTGCTTTTCAGATTTTGAAATGGACATACCTTGAGTGAGGGACATGCAGAGTCCAACAATTTTGATATCAGAGCAGATGTTACCATCCTGCTTGGTGGAAAATGAGCAACATTTTGACTTGAACCAACAACTCCCCACATGGATTTCTTCATCTCTTACATGGCCTATGGATTCCCCACCATCCTTGTTGATATCTCCAATCCCTACTTCACTGCCCCTATTGAGGCTCTTATCAAATTTGCTGAGGTCTATGTGGTTGACCCCACCTTCAAGGCCTGGCTGAGGGCATCAATCAGGTTGTAAGTTATTTACATTTCTGCTCTTTTTCTGTCTACATTCTGACTGTAACCTTAGTTTACAAACTACCAATTCCAAGCACTCCTCACAAGATACCACCTTCTACAAGATTTTATTCAACTTTACCCCCACCTACCAGTATATGAAGATGGAATCTTTTTGCAATTCTTGAAAATTGTTGCTGAGTTACATCTTCAACTTCATATTCTCTGTGAAGCCTTCTTTTAATTTGCCCATCTTTAATTTGCTCACCACCCTATGCTCTGCATTTACCACCATCTTTTGCATTCACATCCATCCTGTATATATACCACCATCCACTGCATTCACATCCACCCTGTATATATACCACCATCCTCTGCATTCACATCCATCCTGTACATATACCACCATTCTTTGCATTGACAGCTATCCTTTAGATTGAAACTACTTTTATAATGTTTTAGATCAACAGTTGCCTCCATTTCCATTCCTTTTATTTGATGGCACTGATAACTCAAATAGTAGTAACATGATCTTGATCTCAATCTGCATGACTATGCTACTATCTTCTAGACCCAGCCTCCCCTAAACAAGTCATGGGACATGGTTGAACCTTCTTTCAGCTATCAATTTCTTCTTGTTCTTTTTCCTCTATGTACTTGAATGCGAATCTGTTCTCTTTCATCAGACTTGTGGCTGAAAGAACAAGGATTGTCCTGATCCAGTCATGTGAGATATTCAACTTTGCTTTGTTTGCTCATTTCCCACTCTTTGCTTCTTGCTTCCAAGCACATCAACCTTTCTCAATCATCTTCCTTTGATACCAATTATCCTTTTTATATGAGTTGTTGCGAAGGGAAGCTTAATTCAGTCATGTGACATGCCAATGAACATCACAAAATTGGTGTTAGCCCTTCTCTTCCTAGTTCCTCTGGTGAAAAAAGCCTACCTTAGACTTGCACCAGGCGTATCAAGGGAAAAACTGTAATATCAACCTGACCTGTTGATGTGACTGGTTTACAGGGTCCTCTTCTCAATCAGGAACAGCATTCAAGATTGATCACATGCATCTGTAGTAGGAGGTCCAAGATTCACCAAGTCAAAGATAAATGTGGCATTATGTAGGGGCAAATTGCTTTTGTCACTTGGTGGCAAACAGTAAATATGTTAAAGATGAAAGCAAAACGATAGACCACCCCAGACAAGCATAGAGTGGACTCTCAAAATTTGTAAACGATTTGATGGCTGTTATAGAGTGAAGGACAGAGGCAAGGAGGTTACCAAATAAGGAGATTATTTGTCAGCTTATCTCCTTATATAGTAGAATGGTCCTAGTGGAGGAAAAGAATCTTACAATGCCTTACCAAATAAGGCAAATTTCCTTTTTTATCCATATGCAGAACATGGCACATTCCCCACCATTGTGAAGAATATCTTGGTTCAATTTATTGTTTTCTATTTGTCAAACATGTATTTCTAATCTGGTACAGACTGTACAGCCCAGAAAATGTGTGATGGCATGCTTCATGCAAGAGGAAATCCCACATACCATCTTACAGGTGTGTGTGTACCACTTATGTTCATTGTACACTTGTTTCTACTTTTGAGATTGAAGTATTATTTCCACCCAGAACCTTGATTACTAACACTTTCAATATAGAACAGGATGCCACTTCTTACCATATTCTACATGCAACCGTGACCTAACCCAGGAAGTTGCATACAGTTGGACTCCAATTGGACTCTGGCAGACTCCAGCTGGATTTCTGGAGTCCAAATGGAGTCCAACTATCATACAACCAAATGTCTATATTTCTGGATCATCAAGGTGGAGTCTATTTGGAGTATGTATACTCTGTCTGGACTACACCAGTCTTAGACCTTAAGCTAATAATTAAGAAACTTAGATTTCATGAGACAAAGAAAATTGAAGTATATTGGCAACTACATAAGTTGATTTTACTACATTCTATGTTACAGAGAGGGGGGAAGGAGTGGGGGGGGCGTGGGAGTGGTGATCAGGAAGGGGGGAGGGATAGGGAGAAAGGGAAATAGGAATGGAGAGAGGGGGTAGAGAGGAATGGAGGGTGGGAGAGGGGGAAGAGAGAAGGGAAAGAGGACCATATGCCCACTAACTACCCAGGATATGCCATGTCATGGACTATGTGGAGGAGTGTAAAGTACACATGGTGGGCATTGTCACTGGGCGCTCATTCATGATGGTGGTGGGTGCTCATGTGTTGGTGGCTCATCGCCATTCCATTCAGGCAGGGAATGGTGCTGGTGGGTGCTAGCCACCCTTCGTGTGTGGATGTGGTGGGGTCTTGTTCATTGTCATGGTGGTGTGTTTGTCACTGGGCACTGGTTCATTGTTGTGGTGGTGGGTGTCATCTGTTCTTGTTGTTCGAGGGTGTGGGTCGTGGGCCATCATAGTGTGGTGGTGGGTGTTGTCGATGTCATGGGTCTTGAGGGTGTGGTTAGTGGAAGAAAGCAAAGTCACACATGTGACATTGGTCTCATGTTCAGACTCACACATTAGATCACATGAAGAATGGGGAGAGTAAAGACCTTGAGGATAGGTTGATGAGGGTGGAGACAGTGGGGGATAGGAAGATGAATATGGAGATAAATGTATTGCTGACCACTTCATGGAAGGAAAACTTTTTAGAATGTCTGGACAGCGGGAAATGGAGTTAGAGTGCAAAGATACTCGATTGCCTGGGCCAGCCACAGAGGCCACACACAGGCAGAAGGGGCAGTTCGAATGGAGTAATGAGCATCAATAATCCAAGAAGAGACACTGTAAGGAAAACATCAGTGGGTGGGGACAAACACATGAAACATGATGCAATGGAATCACATTTATGAGGTGGGTTACCAAAAAGTTAGGTCAAATGTTGGATTAGACGTTGGGCCCAATGTTCATGAAGGAGGGTCCCCCACACAGGTGTAGTGATGCCGCGGTCCGGTTTGGTCCAGTTCTTGCAGATTTTTTCAGAACTGAGAACCAGATGATAGGTCTGGTTCTCTAAAATCTTCGAACTTTGAACCAGACCTTAGGTTCAGGTACATGCACCACCACCTCAACAGATGATGACCACACCAACAGATGCCCACATCAATGGACGACAACCACGCCAGCGGACGCCCACGTCAACGCACCACCACCACGTCAACGCATGACGACCACGCCAATGGACGCCCACGTCAACGCACGACGACGTGCCCCCAACAATGGGAAACCAAGGTGCCACGTCGCTGTCAGCGACGTGGCAACCAAACGATGAACGACAACAACGATGTCGTCGTTCACACAAAGGTGAGTCCCCTGACTCTCCTTCATCCTATCCCATCCCGCTAACAGCCACCATGACATGACATGACGACGACGAGTACATTGTCCCTCCCCCTTCCCTTGGGTGACATTTATTTCATTCTTGAGGCATCTTAAGTAGGGCAAGGTGCAATACTTTACCATCCCCCACATAATCCACATGGACTCCACTGGACTCCACTGGCTTCTTGCCAAAAGAGCATCCACATATGTTTTTTCCATGTCAAAATCTCTCTGAAAAAGCTCCATTTCACCAGAATATTTCAGTTGTGATAATTCTCATTTTTCTCCTTCAAATTTATTGTTACAGCTACTCAGAGCTACCAAGTGATGTAGAAATATTTTTCCGATTTTTTCCAAAAATTTCCACCACAATCAGAGATGTGGAGATGATGGATGCACAAGTCATGTTCTGGATGACCTTTTCCAAGTAACAAACAATTGTCAACAAAGCCAGGAAAATCATGGAAATGCATTTTGGAGGGTGTCATTCATATTATTGATTGTATCAAGCGCATATTTCCTCAGTTGCAACTTGTCTTTGACATATAATATGACTTTTGGTATTTTCATTGAGCAGCATTTGGATGGATGGCTCAGGTTCCAGCTGGATGACGTTGCGAAAGGCATTGCCAAACAGTCGCAAATAGTTGCCTCCCTGTGGCAAGATTTTCAAAAAGCACGCTATTCATTCTTTACACCTAAACTTTAATGAAACATAAATATTCTGGTGCTCTACAAGTGGAATACAGCCTGATTTTTCATGTTTGATGTTCATGGCGCCCTTGCAAGTAGATGGATGCGACGTAGTGAACTTGGATGACACGTTTGAAGCTTTAGACAAACAGATGCAAACTTCCCAAACACATTGAAAACACCGGAAATACAACTGAAATTGAGCAAGGAGAGGAAGACAATATTACTCTGACAATGGTAATACATCTTAGCATGATAGTTTTACAACTTTTACCTTGCACTTTCATCAGAAGTTGGCTAAAAGTTGCAGAGAAAGGAGTATCCTTTTTTCAAGACAAAAAACATATCATTCCAGCAATTTGACATTGAAAACCTGCCAGCTATAGCCTACTAACACCTATAGCATAAGTGAAACAATATTAGGACAGGCATTGTTAAGTTTTGAGTGAAATAACACACCTGAAAGTCTTGTTCCCATTTTTCAATTTTCAAGAGGGTTTTAAAACATACAATTGTGTTGGCATACACTTCTCTGCTTGCCTAATACTCAGGGAGTCAAATTCACATAATCTCAGCTAAAGGTGGATGCCAGTATGAAATTATTGAGGGCTGTATTCACCTTGATAATGAAGGATTTGTTGTGAAAGTCCTTGAATAGAGTGTATTTTGTCTGATATAAACTATACAGTCATCCAGCCCTAAATGATACACCACCCCCATTTGATACACTTTTGACTAGCCAATATCTCGCTCAATACTAGACCGATTTTTACGAAACAAGTTGTAACAAGTAGTACAAACTCATACCTACCACTGTACATAATTTGGATGCAATTGAGGCAGAATTGGCAAAGCTGTGGAGCATACAAAATGGACTGTTTTTCGGAAATAGCTAAATACAGTCACACCCCTCAATGATACACCCATAATCTTAATTTTTCTTTGTGAAATGTGGGTCAAACATTCTGAAATTTGGTACAGTGATAGAAGGGAATTTATCTGAGATTTTCATGTAGTTTTTGTAGAGAAAGTTTGTGCTCAAATCTGTTGAAGCTAATTTCTCATTTTGGGTGTATCATTAGCAGGTGGAGACTGTACTGTGTTCACAAAAATCATCTAATGGCCAAGAAATTTACATGGATACCTTCAGAATGAAAACTCGAACAGATTCACAAATTTTCATAGAAATCAGAGGATTGTGTGGATACAGGTAATGGGAATGGGTGCAGAGGGTCACAGTAAAGCATCTGAAAGTGCCGGAAACTCAGCTGTAGATTAAAGTTCGTCTAATTTTTACTCCCTGCCTGGTAAATACATAGTGCTACCTATCTCAAATGTTAATTCTATTGCTTAGGACCTTTAAAGACATTTTTCCATATTTTTTCCCCCTCAATAACGAGTGCGCGCAGTGCTCCTTCAGCGCTCGGCACTTTCCGAGCATTGTTGATGGCTGGTTGAGCAGCCACGTCAACGTCTCTGGCGCACATTACCTTCACTTCTACCACTCGAACGACAACAGGTAAGTACTTCCTATTCCACATCCCTCTCAACCCACCTTGCTGAGACAACGCCACAGGATGACAACGACACAACGAGGAGGCCACAGGACGACGACATGGAACGAGTATGACCCAACCACAACGACGTGGCACAGCGACAACCCAACCACAAGCGACAGGATGATGACGACATGACAAGGAGGCCACATGATGACGACAACACGACAAGGACGACGACATGACGATGGCATGGGACGACACAGAATGACACGACCCAACGACAACGACATGGCACACGTCAACTGCCAGATCGAAGACACAACATCAAGTCGCCCTTCACCATCAACCCATGTCCTCTCGCCAACAAAGCCCAAATACCCACTATGACGACCACAGCATCCTCAACAGGAATTCGGAAAGGGCGGCTAAGCGCCACCGTAAGATTCTTCATAGGTATGTCTCCCATCACTGCCACCCTCATTCGCTCACTTGTTTCAAAGGTCTCACAAAGCCCGCTATTCGTCTTACCACTCGTCTTGGAGGTGTGAAGCGTATTTCGGGTCTAATCTATGGGAGACTCATGGTGTCTTGAAATTTTCCTTGAAAATGTGTGTTATTACATTTCTTTGTTGCCTCTCTAGTGTTACTAACCCCCTGCCCTTAGGTCATTCGTGACTCAGTAATACTAGCAGCCCCTTGTCTCCCCAGCCCAAATTGACGTCGGACGTGCGTGGGGTGGTCAGCAATGCGAGAGTCCCTCCCATTCCCATCATCATGCACACAACCCAGGTGCCACGTCACCCACAGCGACATGGCGATCAAATGACGAACAACAGGCTTTGTTGTTCGTCGTCATCGGACCGACAACACGATGACGGACGACCAACGTGATCGACAACACGATCACGGTACAGCGTAATGACACGGGACGACGTCACCGACAATGACGATACAACAACACGGAAACAGGACGACGACGACAGCGCAACGACACCCAGGACAGTTGCGACGTGACGACCCAGAACAACAACAACGTGACCCCGACCCCGGAGAATGACCACGCCACTACATCGCAGGACGACAACCATGCGACGACAATCCAGGCCCATGCAGTGAGCGTATAGCCTAGCCATATAGGATTGGACTCGACTCGACTCGACCGCATCAAGGACGAGGTGAAGTGCATGGCAGCAAGCGGAGGTGACGGATGCTAGAAGAGGGGAGATGCACGGACGCTGAATTGTGACAGGTTGTTAAGAGCTCGGCGGAATGTCCATTGACGTTCCGCGTTGTCATCGTTGCCTCCCATCTGTGTGACGTGGTGTTGCCACGTTGTGTGGCTCTTGTAATGGCGGGGTTGTTGTTGACGACGTTGCGTGTCGTCGTGCATCATCAGCGTGGTCGTCGTCGTGCATCGTCAGCATGGTCGTCGTCGTCAGCGTGGTCATCATCGACGTTGACGTCGATGTCACAGGCGGTCGTGGCTTGAGACGGTGGGGTGGATGGTGATGGTGATGGTGTAAGGAAGAAACGACGTGGCATTGGCAACACATCGTGTCACGTTTGAGACACCACGTGACAAAAGGCAGTATATACATACCTTTACTTTCCGATATAAAAATGCCTTCGTGGCTCAGTTGGTTTGAGCACTGCTAATATTGATGAGGTTGAGAGTTCAATTCCTGTAGATGTAAAATTTCTATTTTTACTTGAATATAGTAAGGACACTATAAATACTGTATTCTAATGGTATAATGGTCATCCATGGAATCCATGTGGACTGCTCCATGGAACCCAAGGTGGATATGCCTGCATTCCATGTGGAATCCAATGGAATCCATATGGAGTGGTGTTGGAGTCCATATGGAATTAATCATTCCATGACCATTCCATGGTCATTCCATATGGAATCCATGAGGTCTATGGAATAAGAAAATGGCTGGGTCCTCAGCCAACATGGATGCCATGGATTCCATATGGAATTATCCATGGATTCCATACAGAATAACCCGGGGAAGGTAAAGACCTCCGAAATTGGGCTGCAGAAAAAGGAATTACTCCTTCTCAAAATGGAGTTGCAGAAAGGTTTAATCGCACACTTTTGGAACTTGCACAGGCAATGTTAATTGCGAAAAACCTTCCAGTATTTTTATGGGACGAAGCGGTCACGCACGTGGCATATTTACGAAACCGCGTGCCCACACGCGCTTTAAACAGCAAAACACCGTATGAAGCTTGGACAGGTAATAAACCTGACATTTCGCACCTCAGGGAATTCGGATGCGACGTTTGGGTGCTAGACGAGACCAAAGGTCATTCTAAGCTTGCACCAAAATCAAACAAATTTATTTTTGTAGGATTTCACGATGGATCGAAGTCAGTCCGTTATTACGACGCTAAAGCTCGAAAAATTAAAGTCTCACGCAATGTGGCATTTAATGAGAATGAAGAGCCACGAGAACTCGAAATTAAAGCTAATTTACCGGGTTTACGCGTCGAGGGGGGGCCAGAAGAAAAATCGAACGCTCAAACACCTCAAAAAATCGAAAAACCATTAAATCCTATTCCTACAACAATTCCTACACAAGAAAGTTCTCCAACTCTTAGACCTCGAAGAATTCGCACTGAACACGATTATCGACTCCTAAATAATCCACAGGCATGACCAACGGATCACACACTTGAAAATGCGACACCACCTGATATTACACGACACACAGAGTCATCAGCTGCGAAAATAATTTCTAAAAATCGCACTCACCTTGCCTTCGATGATTTTATCGGAAATTCAACCGAAAAAACGTTTCAAGTGCTCTCAGGAATTTCTGATAAAGATGGACTGCCAGAAACACTTGAAGATGCGATGCAGACTGAGGAGAAAGAGCATTGGAAGACTGCTGTGGAAGCAGAATTAAATGTTTTAGAAAAAATGGGCACATGGAAAATGGAAGACTTACCAGTTGGAAGGGAACCAATCGGATGTCGTTGGGTATTTGATAAAAAATGAGACGAGCATGGAAATGTTGTAAAATACGAGGCAAGACTTGTAGCGCAAGGTTTCTTGCAGAAACCAGGAACAGATTTTAGCCATAACGGCACGTTTGCACCTGTTATGCGCTTTGAGATGCTACGCACGATGCTCGCACTCGCCGCAATAAATAAATGGGATATGCGTCAACTCGATGTGAAAAGTGCATATTTAAATGGAAAACTCATGGAGGAAATTTATATGAAGCAACCCCCTGGTTTTTCAGATGGCAGCGGACATGTTTGTCGATTACAACGTGCGCTTTACGGTTTAAAGCAGGCAGGACATGCATGGAATCGTGAATTTAATGGTGCTATAGAGGAACTGGGATTTATGCAGCTAAAAACGGATTATTGCTGCTATATTCGGAGAAAGGGGGAGAAATTTGTGATTTTATTGGTATGGGTGGATGACATACTCACACTCACCAATAACCCTGTGGAAAGTGATCGTGTCGAAGCTGAACTCAAATCAAAATATGATATCAAGGCATTGGGCCAACCTTCACTATTATTAGGAATGAAGGTGACTCACGACACTACAAATCAAACTATATTACTTTCCCAAAGTCATTACATCGACAAACTCCTCAAGAAATTTAATCTTGAAAATCTCAACCCAGTTACCATGCCACTCGATCCTAACATCGATTTAAATCAGGATGACGAGCCATCAGAAAATGACAGCACTCATGACACGAAAGGGTCAGGGATCTATGCAACAATGATTGGATCTCTAATGTACGCCACATTGGGAACATGCCCAGATATTGCATATGCAACAAACAGACTTGCACAATTTACGAGCTGACCCCAACCGAAGCATTGGACAGCCGTTAAAAGAGTATTCCGTTATTTGAAAGGCACGAAAAATTATATGCTCACGTATGGAGGACAAAACTCTAATGCAGATGTGAATATTTATTGCGACACTGATTGGGCTTCACACACTGACAGAAAATCAATCAGTGGATATATTGTAATCATAGCAGGAGGAGCTGTGGCTTGAAGCTCGAAAAAGCAAAATACCATTGCTCTTTCAACTGCTGAAGCAGAATATGTTTCTGCTACTCACACTGCCAAACAAGTACTTTGGCAAAGGTCTTTATTCAATGAACTCAAAATTCTGCAGCCAAAAACTTCCACAATTTTCACGGATAATCAGGCTGCAATATCTATTGGTAATAATCCAGAATTTCATGCTTGCATGAAGCACATCGAGATAGCGCTTCATTTTTTGCAAGATCACGTCGAAAAAGGAACACTCAATATGGTCTACATAACAACCCACAACAACCTTGCAGATCTATTCACTAAAGGGCTACCTAGGGTTGTACATCAAGACCTGACTTATGAAATAGGTGTAATACCTGGCCAAGGGGGAGTGTTGGAATAATAGCCTGGAATATGGTCAAGTATTCCATGTCAGCCCAGGCTGTAGTTTTAGACCAAATTACTCTGCAATGTTGCACTTTTATGGTTTCCATAGGGTGTGCAAGTGGCCACTTTCCTAAAATGCCATGGGCTGTGGAACCTCGGTTTCTTTGAAAAAAAAACCTTTCAAAAATACAAAACATTGGTATAAGAATGTTTACCAGGATTTACTATGACACTACATTTGATTTTATGCAAAAATGCGATCACTGGTGGTGATATGTGGCATCTATGATTAGCAATAAGTTTTAATATGTTCCCTCCATCAATAGTAGCTTCTTCCCATCCTTTTCCGTTGTGCCACGGCTGTCAATCATTATTGATACCACGCTGTATGATTTCCATGCTGCCCAAGCAACAGAATATGTTTCCACAGGTGTGTATTTTTAGATTCTTTTGTTCCCTCCCATCAATCAATGCTTCCACTTGTCCATTTCGACACTATGCTGTCGCCTCTCCGCATAATTATGATATCCATCCCTCCCACTGCGCACATTGCCCATTGATATGTTTTATGCCCTCATATGTTTTTCCGTTTATAACAATTTTGTTTTGCATTGATTTCTCCCATCCTGAACTCCATTGTTAGATTCCTTTTGACCCTTTTTTATTTGTATGTCAACTTATGGTCTTGTCGCATTCACGCCCACACACATATGCGGTGATGCATTTGAGACTTTCACGTCTGTGTTTGAGACTTTGCATTTCATGCGTCAACATCATTGAACCAGAACGTTCAAACGACAAGCCGACTTACATTCAAGAAATTTTATTAATAGCACGTAATGTAGTTACAAGAGTCAAGATGGTAACGGTAAATAGCAAGATGAGCAAGATCGTCAAAGAAAAAATGCTTGTCCCTTGGCACGTCAAATAGTACCTTAGCGCCTCTGCTTTTTGGCCAGGGGTTGTGAAGTTGTGGGGGATAAACTATAAATTTAAGATTATCTGGAATACGATGTTAAGTACCTTGCATCCACAACCTTTGAGATCACCCAGCTGACATCCTCCACAGCAGCGAGCCAGCTCTAATTATCCTGCCCATTACCTGGCAGGCCAGACTCCCACCACACCAACGTCGCCAGCACAGTCAAGAATGCATTCTGACCGTGCTTGTCCATTACCGACCAACCATCCTCCCCCACAGTTTGTTCACGATGAACCGGACCCAGGGGCCCTTCCACGTCTGCAAACTCATGCCAACCAGGCTGCAATAACTTCCACCAAGCCCCAAAGGATGACACGTCCTTGATTTCGGGTGACTTCATCCAAAAAGCAGACACTACATAATTTTGTAATGAAAAGGATGCACACTACAAACCTTTGTATGGCTATCCATTTGGGTAAAAATTTTGGAAACATATAATTTTTAGCATAAATTCACTTTAGTCACCCACTGACAACTGACCATTAGTCTTGCAAACACCATGAATACTATGGGACTAAATGTCAGGGTGTATATCTATATTGTATATATTCTGGGGCTTATATATCTCCACTTTTACCTAAATATATTCCTTACTGGAATGGACTCCAAATATATTTCTTATGCCTGGACCTGAATTGTGACTGTCACAATGTAGAAATATATTTCTTGTCTGGGATGGACTTGGGATATATTTTGCAGCTAGGGTTGACTAAGGATATGTTTCTTCAGCCACAAGGGGTGTCTGGGGTCCTATATTTAAGAGAAAAACTTGGGATTTAAAGTGGTAGCCACCAGTCACCACCCTGCCAAAGGTAAGCATGTCCACCCCAATGCCATGTCATCACCCACTCACGTTAATTAGGCACACAGACAGGTGACAGGCAACAACAACACTCAACAACAACAACAGGTGGCACAATGACCTCCAACAACCTCACACAAAAATGAACACCCATGAACAATGAGTGCCCATGCCCACAGATGACAAGTGCCCATGGATGGTGAGACTTGACTCCTCTCCCTCTCCCTCCCCTCCTCCCTCCCTCCCCCCACTCTCCATCACATCACTCCCCACACTCTCTCCATCACCCCCCCCCCCCCCAA